GTAAATTTTTTTTTTTTATACTTATGTTATTTGTACATTTATCAGTTTTTAACATCATGCAAAATGTAAAATAAAATTGAAACAATTTTTTTTGTTTGTTTGTTTGACTTAAATATTTGTAGATATGAAAGCATAAAAAATATTCTTTGATAGAGCATAAAAAAAAAAACAATGAAAACAGAATAAGTACGCATATTTTTTTATTTATTTTATAAAAGCGAATATTTGATATTTTAAAATTTTTTTCTTGTCAATATAAAAAACTAGCTGTTTAGAATTTTCATTATTAAAACTTTCCATTTAAACATTATTAAAACTTTATTATTCATTATTAAAACTTTCCATGCTTGCACAAAACAAAACTCGCATTTTAATTTAAACAAAGACAAAAGTTGATCAAAAAAATGAGTAAAACATTCCTCAATTAAAAAAGCTCATTTTTAAATTTAAAATATGTGCATAATGATTACATAAATTTTTTTTTTAACAACATGCGGGTTTTACTGTTTAATTAAACAAGTTTTGTCAAAAATACTTTATCAAAAATATTTCATGTAAAATCAAGTAAATAATTATTAGTTTTCTTCCTCTCAAATTCTTGAGACGAGCGCAATTTTATACTTTTGTTACTAGGTTAACAAGTGTTATTTATCTAGCTTGGAAGTCTCTATTATTTTGTTATTAAATATTTTATTTTACTTGCATGTAAACAAAATATTTGAAGTAAAATATTCCTCAATTAAAAAAGCTCATTTTTAAATTTAAAAATGTGCTCCCCGCTTTATAATAAGATCATATATATATATATATATATATATATATATATATATATATATATATATATATATATATATATATATATATATATATATATATATACATACATACATACACACACACACGCGCGCATATATATATATATACATACAAATAGTATTCCGTACTATTTTAAGCAATCTGATGTCATACTGAAATAGCCTGCTGCTGGGGGCTTCAGCACATACATCGACTGACAAATAGCCTGACTCTCAGTGGAGTGCTGCTACATCGACTGAGGGTTTGGAATGGGGAAGCAAATGTTTCATTCATCATTCTTCGTTTTTTCTTCTTTTTCGAAAAAAACAGTATAGCTTAAGGTAAGCAGAAAAAGTGAGCAAATGCTTATCAAAACACGCTTTAGTAAGTGTGTATATATATATATATATATATATATATATATATATATATATATATATATATATATATATATATATATATATATATATATATATATATATATATATTATATATATATATATATATGGGGGCTTCAGTACATACATCGACTGACAAATAGCCTGACTCGCAGTGGAGTGCTGCTACATTTTTTTTTTAATTACAATCTTTCTTACCAACCTAACTTAGTATTATCTCACACCAAGAACCGTAAACGTAACATCATTTGGTTCAACCCGCCTTTTAGCAAAAACGTCAGCACTAATATAGGAAAAATATTTTTAACATTAATTGATAAGCACTTCCCTAAAAATCACAAGTTGCACAAAATTTTTAACAGAAACACATTAAAAGTAAGTTATAGCTGTATGCCTAATATGAAATCCGTTTTAAACGCCCACAATCACCATGTTATAAACAACAAGAAAGAATCAGCTGAAAATAATTGCAATTGCATAGATAAAAACACCTGCCCTTTATCAAACCAATGCTTAACAAAAAATATAGTATATCAAGCTAATGTATGCTCAAACAATCTTGTTCAAACTCCCATCAATAAATTTTACATTGGCATAAGCGAAACATCTTTTAAAATTAGATATGTTAATCACATAAAATCTTTTAAAATTCCCAAATACAAAAATGACACTGAATTATCAAAGGAGGTTTGGAGATTAAAAGATAAAAACTTAAACCCGGTTGTTAGGTGGAAAATAATTAAACAGTGCGATGCCTATAACCTTGTAACAAAACAATGTAACTTATGCTTAAACGAAAAGTACGAAATTTTATTTTTCAAACACCCAAATTTGTTAAATAAAGAGTGAAATATTATCTAAGTGCCGGCATAAAAACAAATTTCTTCTTGCCCAGTTTGACACTGGCGATTAGCAGTTTTACAACTATGCTTCTTTTTTATTCGTTTTCTTTTGACGTCAGAACTCATTCTACTGCTGTTTTTGTATTTTGTATTTTTTAATGGTTTTTTTCTTGATTTTTATAATATATATGGCTGAAGATTGCCGATAGGCATGAAACTTTTAGTTCCATTATAAAGTTGTATTTTTCTATTTAATTATACTTTATATATATATATATATATATATATATATATATATATATATATATATATATATATATATATATATATATATATATATACTCTTGCATGTCTCTTGCGTGGCATCAAAAAAAGTTTCCCATAAACTGTAGTTTTAAAGAGCGCGTTAATAAACCAGACCAGAAAAAGTTTTAAAAATTTAAAAATTAAAATTTTTTTTTTTAATTGATAGACTGCCTGGCCAAACCAGACCCTCAGTCGGTGTAGCAGCACTCTTTTGCGAGTCAGGCTATTTGTCAGTCGATGTAGCAGCACTCCCTTGCGAGTCAGGCTATTTGTCAGTCGATTTAGCAGCATTCCCTTGCGAGTCAGGCTATTTGTCAGTCGATGTAGCAGCACTCCGTTGCGAGTCAGGCTATTTGTCAGTCGATGTAGCAGCACTCCGTTGCAAGTCAGGCTAAAAGATAGTCGATGTAGCAACATTTACGCATGTTTTAAAAATGTTTTTTATTAAATCAATAACAAAAACACCACTTATTAAAAAAAACTTTCTAGTCGTTATAATTGCGGTTTTTTAAAAAATTTTTAAAAAACAATTAAATTTAATGTACTTCCGCATAAATTAATTGCTTTGACATTTCGATGACAATCAAAAACAGCTTAAGAGACGAGGTAATTAAAATTGTAGTCGTAAGAGACTTTTTTTACATTAAAACGCTCTTTCGACTACACTATAAGGGTATATATATATATATATATATATATATATATATATATATATATATATATATTGATCTATTTTGTAAAAATTATTTTTACATTATATTGATCACTCAAATAAACAAGAGGATTTGTATCTCAACCAGATGCAATAATAAACAACAATATATATATATATATATATATATATATATATATATATATATATATATATATATATATATTAGGAAGCCCTCATAAGTTAAATTCTTAATGGCCTTTTTATAAACATGCTCCTTTGTTAAGTAGTTACTGTGTGAAATATTATAAAAATATAATTATTCCTAATGGGTCCACATGAAGCACAAAATATAGCTTTCTATAGCGTTATCACGATATTATTGCAAATTTGTATGTCTAACTAAGCATGAATGAAGAGTTTTATAATTCATATCTTCTTACTTGCTATTAAATGTTTCAAACTCTATTTGTGTTTTCAGGAGTTAACATCCACTGTACCAGTAGCATGGCACAATCTGCTGTCAAGTTTTTGCCAAAAAAGACTTGTCAGAAAAGTTTAGTGTTTGGAATAAGAGCCAGTATTACAGAAGCAGATATGGAGATAACTGGTTGCAGATTACCAACAAGTGAACAAGTGCTGCGATGCTACATCTTTCATTAACAAGCTGGCCTATCTATAAAACAATCCAAACATGATAGTGCAAAAATTGTGTTGAAGTAGGTCATTCCTTTCTTCAAGAAAGCAAATATTCCAATAATAACAGAAAAGAAGGCCTGTGAAAAAATCATTGCACTGTCTGTAAAGAATGCAAAACTTTGCAAACTTCCTCTAGATCGTTGTTCATCATTGTCAGCACTTGCCAAGCTTGAACAAATGTCAGAAGAACTCAGATTGATATTTCCGCTGTGGGTAAAAGATGCTGAAGAAGTCATGAAGAATGACGAAGGCATAAATTTTTTAGAGCCTATGAAGACAGGCTGCACAGCATCATTTGGCTCTCATGACAATATATTAGTATTACAGTTACAGCGCAAGAAGGCACAACTGCAAAAGCAAGAAGAAAGGAGGCTAAGGGCAGAAGAAGCAGTTACTGTTACTGCTACAGTATCTGCTATTTGTACAGTAGAGCTCTCTAGCAACAGCAGTGAGGAAAGTAGTGATGAAAGTAAATGTGATATCAATAGTCCTTTCCAGACTTGTGAAAAAAAACTGGTAAAATTGCACCATCAAACCGCTCGCACTAGAATGGCAGCTCATATACCTTATAACATTCTCAAATCTCCAAGTGGCATTGGTAATAAGAATAAAAATTTCTCCTGCACAACAGTCTGCACTCACTGAGGCTATTGAAGAATCAGGAAATGATGCTAGCAAAATTGCTGTATTATATGCCACAGCAGACAGGTCCAGGAGTATGGTGAATAAAGAAATTGCTTCTGAAGTTCGGAAATCATGGGTTCCAGCAAAGTATGCTTCCCTGTACTGGGGTTCTAAACTGATGAAGAGACAGGCAACACATGACTTACAGAAAAGACTTGTGGTAGCTGTTGGCGACAACACCAATTTCAAAATTCTTGGCGTACCTGCTTATCTACCAGGAACAGATCAATGATCTGGAGATATCATCACTAATGCTACAATGCAATTGTTGCAGTCATGGAGTTGTGCTGAGTCAATAGTAAACATGACTTTTGATACTACGGCCAGCAATACTGGACATGTCAGTGCCGCGTGTGTGGCCCTGCAGCAAAGAATTGTCTGTGCATTGTTCTGGTCTGCATGCGGTCATCACGTTGGAGAAGTTGTTTTAACACACGTTTTTAACAACTTGCACATTAAAGCATCAAAATTACCAGAAGTTACTGTATTTAGCACATTTAAGAAGCATTTTGACACAGTCCCTCATGGAAGTGATGAGACACTCAGTTCATTCAACCCTCGACCTTTCTCGAATGATTTACAAACTTTTTCTCAGATTACTATGTGGAAGGAAAGTGCAGAACA